GATCCCTCAAAAAAATTTAAAGTAAGCTGCGCCGTGTTGCCGCATATTACATGTAGGCTTCCCCAAGTTCCTATAAAAATAGATCAGCTTAATATTCCTAAAAACTTTATTCTGGCTGACGACGAGTTCGCTGTCCCTTCCGATATAGACATCCTGGTAGGCCTAGATTCCTACTATGATATTATTCTTCCAAATATAGTCAAATTGGGTAAGGATTTACCTGTTCTCCAGGAAACACACCTAGGCTGGGTATTGGCCGGTTGTGTTTCCAAAAAATATACCTCCTGTCATTCATGCTCTTGTGATGAAGACATACAAACTTCAAACTCTTTTTTGTCCACCAGTCAGATTGACAAATTTTTAACAAAATTTTGGGAGATCGAACAGATATCCGACAAAATAATCCCTTCGCAAGAAGACGAATTGTGTGAGAAAATATTCACCTCCACTACTCAAATTCTACCAAATTCCCGATTTCAAGTGAATTTACCCCTTAAATCTTCCTCTGAAGAGAAAAAGCTAGGTGACTCTTACTCTATCGCAAAAAAGCGATTCTTCACATTAGAAAACCGTTTTAAAAAAGACAAAAACCTTTTCGAGGAATATAAAAAGTTTATCGAAGAATACATCTCCTTAGGACATGCAAGTTACATACCCTTGTCAACACAGTTCTCGAATTCAGATATCAAGTATTTCATTCCTCATTTATGCGTTATTCGGGAGGCCAGTGCAAGTACCAAGCTGAGAGTTGTGTTCGACGCCAGCTGTAAAAGTTCATCTGGCTACTCTCTTAACGATATTTGTTTTAAGGGTTACCAGGTACAACCTGACCTTTATGACATCCTCTGTAGATTTCGCATGTTCCCCTATGTATTCACTGTCGACATAAAAAAAATGTTTCGACAAATCCAAATTTCTCCTACGCATAGGCATTTACAAAACGTCTTATGGCGGGAAAACCCAAATGAAAATTTCAAATGCATACAGCTGGAAACAGTAACATATGGGACTAATTCTGCCCCTTTCCTAGCAACCCGTGTACTAAAAGAAATTGCCCTCAAATATATTTCTGACTTTCCTCTTGCTTCTGAAGCAATACTCAAACAATTCTATATGGATGACGGCCTCTGTGTAGCCTATGATCAAGATAGCCTTCTGAAGCTTCACAATGAAATAAGCATTGTACTAAAAAAGCACGGGTTTGAGTTACACAAATATTGCTCAAACAGCGAGCATTTTCTAAATACAATCTGTAAAAGCCAGGACGTCGAGTATGACATAAATATAAGTGATAGCCCAAGCAAAGTCCTAGGTTTGAAGTGGTTACCAGCTGAAGATCTTCTTTCCATTTCTGTTCCAGAAAAAATAATTTCAACCCCTGTTACAAAAAGAAAGATTCTTTCCTTTCTAGCTCAATGTTACGACCCATTAGGATTAATAAACCCCTTTATTGTCAAGGGAAAAATTTTATTACAGAAACTGTGGCAAAAGAAGCTAGATTGGGATGTTATTATCACAGAAGAAGACGTCCTAGAAGATTGGCAAAATTTTATAAAATATTTTCCTCTTCTATCCGAGAAAAAAATTTGTCGTTCCATTTTTCTTCATAAATGTATTGAGAAAATACAATTACATGGGTTTTCTGACGCGAGTCTTTCAGCGTACGGAGCCTGTGTGTACTTTCGTGTCATGTATTCTGATGGTACTATTTCTTCTAGTTTGGTATCTTCGAAATCCAGGGTCGCCCCTCTAAAATCTCTTACTGTTGCAAGGTTGGAACTCTGCGCCATGCTCCTCTTGGCACAATTAGTTAAAAAATTAATTTTAATACTTGAAAACAAAATTCAATTTGAATCAGTTAATTTATGGACAGATTCGCAAATTGCTCTCGCATGGTGCAGAAGTCACGCAAGTCGATGGGCTGTGTTTGTGTCACATCGAGTTGCGCAAATCCAAGAATTGTCAGAGAACTATACATGGCGACATATAAAATCAGCTGACAACGCAGCTGACCTCCTTTCTCGAGGCGCATTTGCCAATGAAATTGTGAATTCAACACTGTGGTGGCAGGGTCCCGGTTTCTTACTGGATAGCAATTTTGTCATTCCTGACGATGACCCAGAAGTCATTGTACAAGACGTTCCCGAAAAACGAAAGGTTCATCTTTTAACCAACGCTCCACAAACACAAAACTTCTGGGATGACATATTCTCTAAATTTTCTTCTTATTCTCGCCTCATTAGAGCAATTTCATTCTTGTTTCGTTTCATTAATTACTTGAAGAAAAATCTCGAGAAAAATTCAATGTCTGATCCTCTAACTACTGAGGAACTGAATTTCACAACTAATTTTGTCATTAGACAAATACAAAATTCAAGATTTTCTAAAGAAATATCCGAAATTTCCCAAAAGAAACCATTAACCAATAAACAGCTTCTTTCTCTAAAACCTTTCATAGATGATATAGGGCTCCTTCGTGTTGGAGGTCGCCTCGAATACGCCAATATCTCATTTCAACAAAAACACCCCCTGCTACTTCCCTCTAAAAATATTGTGACCTCCCTTCTTTTAAAATATGAACACATCCGTCTTGGTCATGCAGGAGCTCAAACAGTATTGAGCAATGTAAGGCTGAGATTCTGGCCCCTTGACGGTTTAAGAGAGACCAAAAGGATAATTCGTAATTGTGTTGTTTGTTTTCGCCATTCTAATCAAGTTTGCGAGCAAATAATGGCTCCACTTCCTAAGGAAAGAGTAACTTTCAGTAGGCCATTCCAGAAAGTCGGAGTAGATTTCGGAGGCCCATTCCTAATCAAATCTTCCATGCTTAGAAAAGCACCTTCAATCAAGGTTTATATCGCTGTTTTCATCTGTATGGTCTCAAAAGCAGTCCATATAGAATTAGTGACTGGTCTTTCAGTAGACTCTTTCTTAATAACTCTTAAGAGGTTTATTTCCAGACGAGGGAATCCCTCCCAAATTTTCAGCGATAACGCTACAAACTTTACAGGCTCCAACAATTCTCTTAAAGAACTTTACAATTTCTTTCGAAAAAGAAACAACTCGAATGCAATTTCGGAATTTCTTTCTCTTAATGAGACCTCCTGGCACTTTATTCCACCCAGATCCCCCCATTGGGGAGGAATTTGGGAATCTGCGATCCGAGGTGCTAAATATCACATGAAAAGATTGATCGGCAACTCATTGTTCACTTATGAACAATTTTCAACCATACTCTGTCAGATTGAAGCAATTATGAATTCAAGGCCATTATGCCCCCTTTCTAATGACCCTTCAGATTTGACATGTTTGACTCCGGGTCATTTCCTGATAGGCTCAAGTCTGACGGCTTATCCCGAAAAAGACCTACAAAAGCTTAACGAAAATAGACTTTCAATCTACCAGAAAATAACCCAAATGCAACAAGTGTTCTGGAAACGCTGGTCGATCGAATATTTGAATCGACTTCAGAATCGACCAAAGTGGTTGCATGACCAACGTAATATTCAAATTGACGACTTGGTTCTTCTTAGAGAAGACAATACTCTTCCCCTAAAATGGCCGCTGGCCAGAGTCACAAACATTTTTCCTGGTAAAGACGGGCGAGTTCGAGCTGTTGAAATACGAACTTCTGACGGAACTTACACCAGGCCCATTACTAAATTAGCCTTATTACCAACTGAGCCTTGGTAATTCTCTCTCTCTCTCTTTCACTCTCCCCTTGTGTTTTAAGTTGAAGCTGAAAGCTTCAAGGCCGGGGAGAATGTTGAGATTCTAAATTCCCAAACAAAATTAAATTAAAAAAATAAAAACTTATTTCTTTTCCCCTATTTATTTTCGCAGAATAAGGCGCCGGTAGTCTAGCCAGTCGGGCCGTACCTGGCACCAAAGTCTCTTTGTCGCACACACTGAAAGTAAAATAATTTTAAAATATATTTCTATTGACCCACTTTTTTAAGGGCAGTTACTCTCTAGCTTTTGAGGTGTTCGCGTCAGTCAAGCGCTCATCTCGCTATTTCGCTTTCCCACGTACAATAAGAAGTACATTTATTCGAAATCATATTATGATTTCATCATTCCTTCTAAAAATTATTTTCACCCTGTGAGTTGGGTATTTTTTCCGCGTATTTCTAGGCGCGATTGTTTAAGTCATAATAGTGAAGTTTAAAATTGCCAAGTGGCAAAAATCAGTAAGAAAAAAAATTGTAAATAAGTTCTAAGTCGAAGTTTTCTTGTACATAATTGTATATTTTCGTGAATTGTTAGTGGTGATCTTAGTGATAAATAAAATACTTGTACATAGAAAAGAAACGGTCGGAGCTTGCGTGTTATTTCAACCTGTATCAAAAACGGAACTACCTTTTCTCTGTAAATAAAATGTGGGAGAGGATTCTAATATTTCTAATCGAAGGATAACAAAAAGCATTTCTTCTCTCCTCCCCCCACAATCTCAAAAACTAATCGTCCGATTTAAGTTTTTGCTATATGACTGTGAAGGGATAGCAACGAGCTATCGAACGATGTACAACACATGGTAGGTTCGTATTCAAAAAAATAGGTTAGGGTAGCTACCCCCTAGGGGTGACTCAAAAAGTGCCTCATTTTCGTTCCTCCTCCAATCCCTCGATGCGTATTCGAGATCTTCCTGATAGTATTTTTTGTCTAAGAGATATTCCCGATTGCTACTTTTCAAATTGTCACCCTGTATGTCAATATCTCACAATATATGTAGTATTGCCAGACATACTATCGCCCGAGAAACACGTGTTTCCTCACTTAATTCAAAGGGAAGCCCTAAGAACAATTACTAATTCTCCAAGGTAGCTTCTGGCAGTTGATTTATCTACTTGAGCAAAGTGTTAAACTCTTCAGTAGTCAGTCAACTACTCACAAGAGCTAACAACTGTGCTCAGAATCAATATTTTTTTGTTGTTAGAGCATGTAGAGCAAAGACAAAAGATTTCCTATTGAAAATTAAACTGCATATATAATTTTTTTAGGTTGTATCCATTTTATCGAATTGGACGTCAAGTAGAAAAATTGAATTACGCGATTTCGAGAATGATCCTAGATTTGTCAGACTTTGTAGAGTACTGACTAAATCAAGTCCCCCTACTAAAAGCAGTAAGGTAATATTGACTCCATCAAAAGGTACCGATCTCAATACCGTTTTAAATATTACCGCTGATGAAGAGGCAGCCAAACTTGTTGGTAACATTAGTTTGCCACAAATGGTCAAGGTAAAATTTACAACTCTAAACTGAATCCTAACACGATTACTTTATTTTTTCTCTAGGTTTTAACAACTCTGTCCATAAAGCGCAGAAGATCTATTCTACTTCTAAGAAGTCTAGCATTTAATATAGCAGGCAGTCCAGAAAAAATGGACATAAAACAATGTGCAGATTTGTTTTACAGTCTTTCATCTCTGAACTTCTACGATGAAAATGTGTTTGAGAAAACTGCCAATAATATTATTGAAATATTGCAGAAAGATACTATCAGAAAAAGTTCAGTGGTTGGCTCGATTTTGACCAGCGTTGGATTATTGAAATATAAAAATACTGGTAAGGACTTGTTGGCTTATTGATTATTTTGATTTTATTTATATATTTTTTAGCACTTTTAGATGCAATAAGCGATTGGATGGCACAAAACCATTCTCACTGTAGACCGCAGGATATATTTAGTTTATTTATGACCTTAGCAGTTTTAAATCATATTCCTGCTAACTGTGATCACATATTTAAGGTAATAAGAATCTGTTGAAAAAAAAAATAATAATTCACAAGCCAAATTTGTAGCTTTTAGTTCCACAACTAACCCAAGAAGAAGCTGGAAAACCAGGTGTTTGGCTTGAAATTGTATGGTCCTTGATTTTATTGAATCAAGCTAATGCCAAACATGTTGAGTCAGTTTTGAGTGATGCATTTATTGACTTACTCAAAGGTAAGATTGTATTTGGAGATGTTCTTCAATCATGACGGTTTGCAACAACATACTAGAAATTTCAGTAAAATCGTATCGTGGTATCACAGTTTTTGCAAAAAAAAAAAACTACCAGTTTATATTTATGAGGTGTTATTTTTATAGGCTCTCATAGCAGTCAATGTAAGAGATATGACGAAGTACATAAGCATTACTAACTTTGTTTGCAGCCATAACTATAGTTTCATTTTGCTTTTGAACGTTTAACTCAAGTATATGAGATTTCGTTCCCTTCAGGATTAAAAATAATTTCTGGCAACCCCTTGAAGTTTGAGATTTTGAAAAAATATCACAGCATATTCTTTAATCGATTGCCGGTAATAATTTATTGTAGATCCTTTTTTCATGTAATGTGAGATTTTCCACATTTTCCAGGACTGATGCGATGATTCCTTGAAAGGGCCTAACTTATATTGATTGACTTTGTTGTTTTTCCAAATTCCACTCAAGTCTCTGGGTTGGAGGAATTTTTTGAATGATTGATTTATTGATTGGTATTTTATGATTTAGTTGGGCCTCAGGCTAAAATTGTGAGTTCTGAGATCAACATTTTTTTAATTTCTTGTGTATAAGGTTAACTAGTTCAAAAATACAGTCAAGCATAGTGAACTAAAAATCACAAGTGAAATTATTGTGCACTTTTGCTTCATAAAATAACAACCAGTAATGAATAGTAACGTTAAAATTCTTCTGATTCAAATATACTTATACTTACATGATATTTTTTAGAACGAAAATTATTAAACACTTCGGCGATACTTAAATTATTGAATATTGATGGGGCTGCGCACTATTTACTAGAAAATTACAATGGTCCAAAAATAAAGAAAGATCATGAAATAAGGAAAACTTCATTACAATTGGCTAAAGAGAAATTGGATATGGTGAATAGTGTTGTCGATACATTAAAAAATCTTATTCCAGAAACTTATTTTAGAACAAGAGTAAACACTGGTTTAGGATTCTATATTGGTGAGTACTTGAAATCTAAAGCAAGATAATGTTTTTTATTATTAACAAATTTACAATAAATATTAATAGATGCAGAATGTTTACTGGATAAATCATGCAATCCTTTACAACTAGATGATTCAACCGTACCTGATAGTGAGAAAATAAAGTGAGTGTACTCTACTAGTGGGGAAGTCCTAATAATTTATTTTATTTAGGGTTGCAATTTTGGCCTTAGACTACCATGATATGTGTAAAGGTAGAATGGAAGTGACCGGAATTCAAGCGTTATGTCAAAAGCTTTTAACAGCAATGGGTTACAGGATAGTCGAAATTCCATACACAGATTTTAAGGCAACAGACAAAATAGTTAACAAAGTTCAGTATTTAGAGAACAAGTTGAAACAGACAGTTAAGATGTCATAAATTAGTTTATTTATGAAATGTTTATTTATATTGTTTTTGTTGTAAATAATAAAATAAGAATATGGACATATTCTCAGATCAATTGGTTTTAATTAAAAATTATAAATACATACAAACTGTGCTTAAGGCCTAATTTACCCACTCATTGTTATATAAATAGGTATTATGTTTCAGAAAATTGGTAATCCATCATTCAAGCTGTACAGTTCAGAGATCAATCAACATATTTTTCTTCGTTTAACCACTTTTCATTATTTATATTTTTATAAATCAAAGAAACCTTATTATACAATTTCAAACATATAATAGGACTATCTTTCTGATATTTGGAGTTGATACCTATGTTAGTTCAGATGCTCTACTTGGGTATTATAACTGTGGTTTGATGATGGTTTGAAAAGATTCCTATTTCTTAGAGGGAGTGTGACCCAAAGAAACAACTTAAGCTACTTAAAATCAAGAAAAAAAATCTAAGATCTCTCTATTGAAGATAAATTATGCGGGAACTTGCGACTTTACACCTGCTAACCGCCGAAATCGCAGCCTTCTGTTTGTTCAGTCGTCAGTGAACCGTGCCCTCTACTTTGTGTGGTTGGAATTCGCTCTAAGTGAGATCGTTGACTTGCTTTGGAAAATTTTACACGTGTTAATAATGTGCCTCCGAAGCCGATGTGACGTCACAGCCTCGAAACTCGAAAATAGTTCATCGTAGTAAGACGTTGATTTAATATTTATTCTTAGATTTTTTTGCACTAAAACTTCCATTTTTGGGTCACACCTCCTTTAATATAAACACATATCATTGCTACTCTGCCACAAAGACCTATGACAGAATTATCACTAGAAAATTATTATCTACATAATGAAGTACAAACTCCAAATTGGCGGAATATGCTTATCTAATTAAGTTTTTTTTACCAATGTATCAATTAAATACATGCCAATCCAAAAATTAATTTATGTCAATACCCAGAAACTTTGAGCTTGGAAACTATCAACTGAACTAGACAAATGATTGAACTCTAAGTACCCAGCAGCAGCAACATTTGTCTTATTTGAAATAATAATTAACTTATTTCTATTGAACCTCTCATGATTACATTTGTAATTAGACTTGCCCCTTCGCCCCTTCTGGTCAGAAGCAGATTTTTTTTCTATTATTATGTATGATAAAATAGATATTATGGTCTACAGATCTCCCTGCTTGTTCCATATCAGTATACTCTTGTTCTTTTTCATTTATACCTCTTTAATTCACACAATTGTAAATGGTGGATATGAATACATATTTTCCTCAGGTACCTATCATTCCGTTCATGAACTTCTGAAACAGACCAGTGGGATGTTGATACAACTTTCCCTCGAACTTTCCATTCATCAAATAATAAATTGATAATTCAATAAATAGCAGTATGATTTACAAATAACATTATTAATATCAATATCAAATACTTTCTTATTGTGATATATAGACATGTAACTCCCTGACTTTATCAACTGTTCTAGTTTACTTAAGTGACTCGACTCAGCTGATATGTTAGTATCATGTAATTATGATAAAATGGCAAATAAATTAAAGCTGGAGCTGAAATGAATGCAGTTATTTGAGAGGTAGGTTCTCACTTTCTATACTCTACAACGTAAATAAGAACTTGGTAAATGTATAGAACTTTTTTGAAAACTGCAAGGTATCACGATAATAGCATATAATATGCCTAGGGACTAAAGTGGTACTTTTAATTCATACCTGCAAAATAAAATAAATACCACATATTATGACCCTCACTTTAACTCAACAATACATTCATCAACTTTGTAACTAGCATCTTGCCTATTTAGTATTATTTTAGGAAAATTCAATAAGACAGGAAAACATTTATTTCTAATATTTTATTTACATTCCTCATTTTTGGCAAACTTAAAAAAAATGCAGCCCTCACAAAGTCAAGGCTACCAATCAGCATTTTTGTATCTACGTAATATAAATTATGACTCCCAATCATCTCCCCAGCCATCTTCATTCACATCTCCATTATCTGCGCAGAATTTGCTGCTAACTGTGCTATCAATCACAAACTTATTACTAGTTTGAATAACAGGTACCATATCTTCGAAAAAATCAATGTCATTATCACTCTGTTCTATTTTGATTTTTGTTGGATTTTTAATATCTAATTCTGTAATGTCTATTATTTGCTTTGGTTTGCTATTTACTGGCATTTTCGGTATTAAGTCGATTTCAGCAGAAAGTGTTTCTAATTCAAAGCACTTATTTTCCTCAATTTCATTGATAACATTATTTTCATTATCCCATTCCTCCCAATTTTCAATATCTTCATCTGCAGATTGTTCAATTTCATCCGTTGAAGTTTCACCTTCTTCACCATCAGGTCTTGGTCGTTCAGGTAATTCGTTTCGATTATGAATTAATTCAAGCAATGAATTATTGGCACTTAATTCATCCAAACTAGACGCGAGAACTTCCGGTTTTGGAAGTTCTTGCGCTTGAATTTTCCTTGAAGAACTCTGAGTTTTTGGACGTCCATCATTGAATAATTTAGCTCGTCTGCCTCCAATTACTATTTCAGCACCCAACACTGGAACTAGTTCTGCGAGGGTATGAAGAGTGGATGCTACCAACTCATTGTTGGTATCTTTAATACCAACGAGAAGCTAAAAATTAAGTTTTAGAGAGGCTCATAATTTTTGAAATAATAACAGTTACCTCTGGTAAAATATGCATTTCCAGTTCCTCTTTGGAAAAATAATCTATAAAATGTGAAAAATATTCTAAAAGCAATAGCCTTATCTGGGCATCTCTAACGCAAAATATATTTAATAATTTTGGCGCAATATATTTTTTAAAAACTTGTTCGGAAAATATAGCACCATTTTCACCTAAAAAACAAGAAGTTATTAATGCAAAAATTATTTGCTAGAATCCAATTCACCTTTTCTTGGTATTAAAATGTAAGGCAACAAATAATTTCTAGCTCCGTTATTTAAAAGCACCATTCTTGAAACTAAAAGCCTCCCAAGTTGACTAGCCACAATTTCTTCATTTAAAAGTTGCAACTCTTCTTTCAAATGAGCGAAAAATTCAGTTTTGTCAACATCAGATTTTAATGGCAACTCGATAAGAAATGAATGTATATTAATAAATTTATGCTTAAAAAATTCATGTTCTAATAATGAACTTAATGTTGGTCTTTGTAAAACGTTTGGTTCTTGTACTATGTTTTTACAAAACTCTTTAAATGATGATAACTTGGAAATTTCATCTAAAAATAAGTAAAAAATTATTGTTACTACATTTGGGTAGGGTAAGTATTAGATATACATATATTGTTGTTTCCTTAAAACAAATATATACTGGAAAAGCACCCTTTCTCCATCACGCAAAAAATATTATTCCCAAATTAAAGCAAAGCGTTCCTATTCTGGAGATTCCTTGAAAAAAAAAAATGTGTGCAGCTCACTCGCGGTGGAAGTGAAACATTCATGAAACTGAACTGAGAGAGCAACTCATTCTTTCAATTTTTCACAGGCTACATCCTATAGATCCAATGTTCGTTTCTTTTCAGTGTCGCTTTTTCGATTCATCGAATTCAAATCACATCTGTGCTAAAGAAGTTTTCACTTCAAAATCCCGAGAAAATTGCTTATCAAACCTATAAGAAAATCCTTAAATACACGCCTCAATATTACAGTAAAAGTGAAGAAACTGAAACTAAACCAACTTTCTTTAATGGGAGGGTTCAATAATCCCTTCTCCGCTTTCTGTCTTCCTATGAAGGTTAAACACAATCTACAAGGTATCAAAATAAATTCGTGGCAGGATTAACCCTAACAAAAATTCACTCCAAAAGATTCTTTAGGTGTTTTTTTTTTAATTCCAAAAGAAAACACTCTTGCTCCACGAAAAATTTCAAATATGTTAAAGAGTCTTATGTGCTTCGAGGCTAGAAAACTTCATCATCAGGTACAAGAAAAAAATCACATTACGTACAGTTGAAGCGAGCGTTGAAGATTTTCCTCATTAAATTAAAAAACGAAAAGGAAAGGGCTAGGACGTTAATTTGAGGAAAAAGCTCGACATGGCCCCAAAAAGGATAAGCTGGCAACACTGGACGTTTGTTTCACTTGGGCAGCTAATCACAACTTAAAAAAGTTGTGAGGAGGCGCGTAAACATTGGAATCTTGGAGGAATACACTCGAGAATACATGAGAATATGAAGGAATACATAAGAATACATCGGATTACCTGACGCTTGTATGTACACTGGAATACATTCGCGGTTTACCCGTCGTGACTACCGCTGTTTGTGAAACTGGCCCTAAGTGAAGTTTGGTACATTGGTGTGAGGATTGTATAACTCTATCTCCACTTGTCTTTGAGTCTTTGAAAGCTCCTCTTTTCACCATTGGCAATGTTTATATTCTTGCGTATATGAGGATCAAATTCTAAGTTTTTGTTCAAGGTCAAAAGGCGGCGGTGTCGCCAGAGGGGTGCTGTGAAATTTGAAGTGTGATGCAGTGGGCGCAGTGTTTACTGCGGCTTGCCGGCAAACAGCAACGCACGGCAAGGATTAAGAATGGTACACGCGGAGTTTTCACGTCGAAGCCAGCGGGAAAACTTATTTCGATAATTTTGTAACATTCTTAAGTTAGGTGGACTCTATATCGTTATCTGGGCGGTCAAAATTGGAAAAAAAATTATATGGGGACTATGGGATAATGGACAAAAATCATAGCGTTTGTTCTATTGGATCAGGATTTCAATAAAATAAGAATTGCGAAATCTGTGATTTTTTTTATTGATATCCAATATATTTTTTTCTGCGATTGACAAGAAATGTCAGCATTTTTGACCGGTTGACAGGTCGCAAAACTCAATATTCTGGTATTTCAATTATGTTTCAATAGTTGCTAAGGAATCGATGAATAACAATACGGGAAACACTTTTCCGGCCTAGGCCGGGAAAGTGATTCTCGTATTGCTGAATAATTGGAACTAAAAGACAAACATTTAACAGGTATTTAACCGATCGCAGAAAAAATTGTATGTGTATTTCGGTGGAAAAGCACATTCTCGGCCTTCGGTGTTTGCCGGCCTCGGCTACGCCTCGCCCGACAACTTACACCGTCGGCGAGAATGTGTCACTTTTCCACCTAAATACACAATATACTATTTTTTTCTCTCGGAGGACAACTAGGTTGATGTTTGTTTGTGGACAGATTAATGACTACTGTAATTATCCACCAAATATAGAGGCAAATCATTTCTCAATAGTAGGTCACCCCCAGGTTAAGCATTACCCCAGGATAAACATAGTTTAGTGTGTATTTGGGGAAGTTTTTTCTATCTAGACTAACAAGGCTTTGAAATAATGAAATTTCATTTAAAGAAATACCTGAACATTTTTGGGTGCTGGAAAAAGGGGGCCTAATTTCACATTGATAAAAGTTTACTGGATGTGTGATGTGATGTTCAGCATTTTGCTTCACACTGTTCGAGAGCAAGAAGGAACAGTGAATTAATGTTGTATTGAGAGATCGGCAAAGTGTTAAATATGCAGTCCAGTCAAAAAACTTGTTGCTCAGTAACATCACCTTGTTAAATACTAAAATATACATCCATACATTGTAACATTTTTGTAACTACATAAGTATACAGTAGACAGCTGTATGTAAAATCTGTTTTTTTTTTAAAGATAAAAGTCAAAGTGACATTATGTTACTTAATTTGGTTTACCGAACTGACTTGTAGACAAAATAAAATAAAAATCTTTTGCGACCAAGTATCTACAATATGAAGTTAAAGATTCTTACCATCATTCTTATTTTTTAAAAGTTCAATCACCAAAGTACAAAATGCAAATACATCAATAAAATCTTTTCTCTCGCTGGAATGTTTTAAATTTTTCTCCTCATTAGTGTCGACAGCTTTGCTATATCTATGGCACCTAGACTTTTTGAGAAGTTCAGAGCTAAGCTCCTTGTAGGGGCACAAATATTCCATGCCGCCTAATTTCCAGCTGCCTTCTTTAGTAACAAATATTGAAGATAGACAAACATTGTTGTGTGAAACTGAAGCTTTTTCATGTAGGAAACATAAGGCTTTGAGTATCGAATAAAGTCCAAGTGATATTTCCATTGTATCCATGTGAGCGATCATGTGTGATAAAGGTGTAACTTCTTCTATTGCCAAATAGAACTTACAAGCTTTTTGCCAGGAGGATATGTATTTCACTATACATGGATGACGGTAAATCATAATGTTCTGCATTGGGAAAGAAGTTTCGGGTTAGATTTGTGTACTCAAATGTTTCCAAAGTGTTCATACCTTGCTGCACTTTTCCAGAGGCGTCTGAGGGTTCCAAAAAGGATCGTTCAAAAAAAGATCTCCAGCAAAAATGGAGATTTTTGATTCATTTTGCACATTGTTTATGGTCGCGTTGTGCTGCGTCCAAAAATCGGATACCTCAATTGCTTTTTGATCCATTTTCACTCCAGATATTTGTGATTGTTCGTTTCCCATTTTTTAAGTTGGATCTTCTCACTATTTTTATTTTTCTGTGATCAGCGATCAGCTGTTGTTGTTTTGGTGTGGTGTTTTTTGGCAATAATAATGTCAGTTGTTAAGCTTTCGGCGGGACGGTTTTTCACGTGTTCTTGGTGTTGGACATGTTTTGGTTGGAACGTGTTCTTGGTTGGAACGGAACAGAACTACTACTCTGTGGTTGGAATGGAACAGGACCAGACCTATTCTGACTCTGTAGTAGCCGCCACACGCCAAAACTCTGTGTTCTATGCTTTGGTTCGAATCACAGAACACGAAGTTCTGGAACCATTCTCTAAACACTCACTTTGGCTGTTTTCGATTCGCTTTGGTCCGTCTTCAAGGCGAACCAAATTAGAACCAACCGTTTTCGATTGCAAACCGGTGACGTGCAGGCATCGCTTGGTCCGTCTAAATTCGAACCAGCTTCGCGAGTTGGTTCGAATTTTGGTTTGAATTTTGGCTTGCTTTCATAACCTTAAAACATGGCGTCTTTCTTGACAGACCAAATTCAAAAGCTGTCAACCAACATCTGTCAAATCCGAACCAACCAAGGCCGAACCGGGCTGCGAATCGAAAACGGCCTTTACAAACAGCCATTTGGTAAATGGCCCTTTGCCCTTGCGCGAACTTAACCTCAATAAAAAATTGTTTTGTTTGTTTTCTTTAAAAAAGTGTTTTTATTTTTTAAATTTTTGTAGAGTTGTGGGAACCAGGAACATTTTGAGGCAAAATAGAATAGACTAGCCCAGTTGATGTGAAGTGCCTACTAAAATCATTTCATGGTTCAGGCAAGCAAAATCCTGCAGTAAGTACTTACCCTAGTAATTACTTTTAATGATTGTTCACTTAATACCTAATGAAAAGTGAGCGGATTAGCAGATCTATAAATTTTGTAAACCTCCTGCCCTCGCTTCTGCCTAAATATTCAAGTCTTGTCAGGTCCTGCTCAGTCCCAAGCTCAGTCCTACCAAGTCCTGTCAATAACCTGAGTGAAATCCTGTCAAGTCCGTCATTGGGTCCTGCCTACTCTTGTCAAGTCCTTCAAAGTCTGGTCAAGGTCAGGTCCTAAAGTCCTCTCAAGCTCTGCAAAGTCTTGTCAGGTCCTGCAAAGTCTTACCAGGTCCTGCGTGTCGTCCTGTGTTACAGCGAAATGCCAGGCAAAATGTGTTCACACAAAGTTAAAACTCGAGTTAAAAAAAACAAAGACTTAAAAAAACATCGTTTATTTTACACAAAATCACATTGGGATTGGGTACATTCAGGCGGTGCCAGCGGCTAAGCTCAGCCACTCAGCAGGGACTTTATTCTCGAAACCGAGGAACAGCGTTCTCATGAGAACGATTGCTCTGTCATTATCAGTGTTATACGGACGACGAAGACAGAACCTGTGCTCTCCCCTGTTTCGAAATAAAGTTCCTGCTGAGTGGCTGAACTTAGCCGCTGGCACCGCCTGCATGTACCCATTCTGTCGACTATTTTGTTGTTGTTGTAATCGTTTATTTAGCTATTATAACTAATTACATCTTTTTTTTTTTTTATTTTTTTTTATTTTATGTTTATGTTTATTAACGGACTTGCCACTTTACTAAATCTACTTATACAAAATACACTTAAAACAAAAGACTTAAACTAACACAATTACTTTAACTTCGATTACATTACATTACAATAAAATTTTCTTAACCTGTTGAATAAAACTAGGGTTTGAGCAATTGAAAACATCAACATCATCAGCCACACAGTTCATCTGGCGGCACATTCTCGTTAAAGCCGAATTCTGGCCATAGTTAGTACGATGGTATGGGACAGAAAATAAATTTCTACTTCTAGTAGTTCGCTGGGGAACCGCAAGCCCAACACCTTCTAAAAGATATGGACAATCGACAGTGTTGTTCAAAAGTTTAAATAAAAATCCCAAATCAAGAATTAAACGTCTTGTTTGCAGCGATGGAAGCTTTAGTAAAGTTTGCAATTGATTATAATCAATTTGTTCTGGTGGGATTTTTAGTTTGTAAGCAACAAGTCGAAGAAATCGCTTTTGGGCCCTTTCAAGCAAGTCTATGTATGTAGAGTAGAAAGGTGACCATACCTGTGACCCATATTCCAACGTCGATCGCACAATTGCACAATACAAAGCCTTAAAACATTCAATATTATTAAAATCTTTCAGGGTTCTGCCAATAAAACCAAGTAACTTTATTGATTTGTTATAAATGCTCTCAATCTGTAGATCGTATCTTAAGGGACTATCTAATATTACTCCAAGATCTTTATGGAAAATTTCAGCGGATAGTATTTCATTTTTTAAAGAGTAGTGAAATATAATTGGAGTCTTTATTCTATGATATCTCATTACCTGACACTTAGAAACATTCAGTTCTAATCTATTTCTTTTACACCAATCCAAAAACGCATTGAGATCTTTCTGGATCACCTCACAATCGTCTAGTTCCTTTACTGTTTTATAAAGTTTTAGGTCGTCTGCATACAAGAGATAATTACAGTTTTCAATTTCATAATGGATATCATTAATGAATAAGTTGAACAGTAGAGGTGATATGTGACCACCTTGTGGAACACCAGATGTAACATTTATGATCGAGGAAGTAGCATTATTTATTTTTACCACCTGCTGTCTGTTAGTTAAGTAACTGGTTAGCCAATGGAGAAGTGGTCCAGAAATGCCAAACTTTTCCAGTTTTCTCGACAAAATGACGTGATCAACCTTGTCGAATGCCTTGGAGAAATCAGTATAAATGACATCTACCTGGCATCTGCTCTCCAAAGCATTCGAGAGGTACTCCTCAAAGCAGAGCAAATTAGTAACTGAAGACCTACCCTTGACAAAACCATGTTGGGCAGGAGTTATGATACCCTTAAAAGCCGGCGTAATTTTATTAGTAACAATCTCCTCAAAAATCTTACCAATCACGCTCAACTTTGATATTGGGCGATAGTTTTCCACCTTCGCTCTGTCAGAGGTTTTATGCAAAGGAGTGATGAAGCTTAATATCCATTTATCTGGGAAAGTGCCAGATTTGATTGACCAATTAAAAATTTGGGAGAGTATGGGTGAAATCATGAATCTGCAATTAAATAGAAAATCACGTGGTACGCTGTCAGGTCCTACACCTAGATGTGGCTTTGTATTCTCTATGGCATTAAATACATCTAATGGTGTAATTGAGATGTTGTTTAAATCGACCGTATTGTAATATTTGCAATGTATTAGCTCGCTTTCCGTTACAAACGAATTGTGCGAATCGTGCAAATCGTTGTGGCTTTTGACCTTGCTATAAACTGAACCAAAAAAATCAGCAAAAAGGTTAACTATTGAATCAGTGTCATTCGAGACTGTGGCACCATACGACATTAAATTAGGTAATACATAACAACTTCCTTTATCTTTCACAAATTTCCAGAATGCCTTTTTGTCGTCGATAATTGCGTTTTCTGTCAAGTTGATAAAATTTTCGTAAGCTAAAGATGATAAAACTTTGCATTCTTGTCTCAATACTGAAAAATTTTCATAATCAATAATGTTATCCGTTGTTTTCCATTTTTTATGAGCTGCCTTTTTGGCAAATATAGCATGTTTCAAGTTTTCATCAAACCATTTCGGAAATTTGCGATTTTTAGTTCTAGATCTAGGAACAAATGTTTCGATACAAGAATAAACTACATCATAAAACTTGTCAATTGCAATATCAACATCCTTAAGAGTGAACAAATAACCCCAATCTACTGAAGCCAAATAATTGTTTATACTTTCGTAATTAGCTAATTTAAAATTGCGATATGAATAATCGAACTTCAAGGGTACAAAATCAGATGGGATCTCTACATCGAATTGAAGTGCAGGGTGGTATCTATCACATTTTATAAATGGGAGTTACATATACGTTATCTTAACATCATATTATTATTTTTTAAAAAAACACAGATAAACAATTAATCAACATTGCACATCAATTTCAAATACAATCATTAAATATAAAACCGGCAATACAAACAAAAAACAAAAATATTCTAAATCACTCAAATAAATAAAACTAAAAGTATACACTGTAATATAATCTGTCTTATCTCTAATATATTGTCTAAGTTTTCTTTTAAAAGTATTGATTTGTTCACAGCCTTTGATATCAGTTGGTAACTGGTTAAATTCAATTAATCCCCTAATAAATAATGATTTTTCTGCTTGTACAGACCGGACCCTGGGGATATCAAAATTATCCCTTGATCTCAAATTTCTTTCATGCCTCTGAGAAATGTAGTTTATTTTATTCATTAAATATGATGGCAGCAGTCCCACTCTAATTTTAAAAATAAACACGATTGTGTTGTACAAAATAAGTTCCTTTACTGAGAACCATTCCAATGCGTTTTTCATTTCACGAATAGGTGTTCTTCTCGGACAACATACTATCATCCGCATTGCCTTATTTTGTAGCTTGTGCAATCTTTCAATTTCATTTCTCTGGAACAAGTACAAAGCTGTGGAACAATAAGTATAATGTGGTAACACCAATGAATTGAAGAGTAAAATCTTTGACCACCGAGTCAAAGAAAACGCACGTCTATACAAGAACGAGAGCTGGAAAGAAATAGTCTTTATAACATAATCAGCATGACATTTAAATTTTAGGTTTTTATCAATTAAGACCCCCCAGATACTTTTCCACAATTTCTAGCTTATTGTTGTCAATTTTTATTTCAATGCCCTTGCTTACAAAGTCCCTATAATACCTGTCTGGTCCCAGTATCATACATTTTGTTTTCAGAATATTGATTTTCAATGAGTTTGTACAACACCACCTATGTATTCTGTCCACATTTCTCATGTTTTCGACATCTGAAGATGGAAAATAACATACTATATCATCAGCAAATAAATGGATCTCAATTCCCTCAACAACTTCAGCAATGTCATTAATATAAACCAGAAACATCAATGGTGCTAAAACGCTTCCTTGTTGAACACCTATTTCGGTCTCTATCAGTTCTGATTCAACTTGATTAACCCTGACTTTCTGCCTTC